CAAACAGCTAAGAGAGGAATTGTGGCCATAAAGGGAAAACAGAAAAGAAATCAAGAGTAAAAGACGATGTACATAATTGCATTAATGGTTAAAGAACTACACATCCTACAATGCATTGCACATTGTTACCCAGGATTCAGTGGTTGAGTAAAAAGCTGTTGCTTGTGATTACTGATGGTTTCTTTCCTCTCTTCTCTGCCTTGCTCCTGTGCAGGAGGATCTCCCTGCCCGAGTCCTTCCTGACAGCAGACATCATCCTCAGCACGCTGCAGAACATCACAGAGGGTCTTGTGGTCTACCCCAAAGTCATTGAGAGAGACATCTGCCACGAGCTGCCCTTCATGGCCACAGAGAACAATATTATGGCGATAGTGAAGGCAGGAGGCAACAGACAGGTAGGAGAAAATGCCCTGTGAGGAATTCTCCTCTGTGAGTCAGAATGGACACATTAATAATAGTTTTGAACATAACTGGATGAATGCATTTTTGCTTAATCAGGAGAGATGGTTTACTGGGCAGAAGATGCCAGTGGTAACCAGAAAAACAGATGACTGAAGTGAGATCATCTTACTGACTAGTAACCAGTGTTTTGACCATTTAAATGAAGAAGCTGATTACCAATAACCAGACCTGACATGGAGACCCAACAACATGGCTGTTAAAGTCAGCTCCACCTTAATGTTTCTCTGTTTTTTCCTGTGTCTCCTTCAGGAGTGCCACGAGAAAATCAGTGTTCTCTCCCAAGAGGCAGCAGCTGTGGTTAAACAGGAAGGTGGAGACAATGACCTGCTGGCCAGAATCCAGCGAGACCCCTACTTTGCACCCATTCTAGGGCAGCTGGATGCTTTGCTGGACCCCAAGACCTTTATTGGGCGTGCTCCACAGCAGGTACAGCATGAACAGCCTTATTTTTGTTCAGTCTGACAACAGATGAATGTTTTCAGCCAAGCTGCAGCTCTCCTATTACTGCAGCTGTGTCTGTTGCCCCCCTTGATGATAGTTTCTTTTCTTGTTCCTGCTCCTCTTCAGGTGAAAACGTTCCTGGCTGAAGAAGTACGCCCCCTACTGGAGCCGTATAAGGCCAATATGGACGTCAAGGTTGAGCTTGTGCTTTAAAACATCAGTGATGTCTTAAGCTGGTTTTATGGTCGAGCAGAGTTTGCTGTCCACTCCACTCTAGGGACTGACCGTCTGTCTGCCTGGAGCGAGCTCTGTTGTCAGATGGAGGCAGCGCACAAAGTGTGTGGCACAACCAGCGTGTGGGCCGCTCTTGCTTGTACTGTTGTTGGTCAGCCAGCCGCGGTGGAGAGTGAAGTTATAACAGATGAGATGAAGCGAGACAGATTTAAAAACAATAAAATGGGGGGGGGGGCTTATCCATAACGTGAAATTTCAAGTTATGTATTTCAAACTAATTTCAAGCTAAAATTTAGTCATGGCTCTGCCAATCAGGAAGCTCTTAGAAGGTATGTTGTGTGGTGTGTGTGTGTTGTTGTTGGTTTTTTTTTTTTGGTTTTTTTTGTTACCGGGAAGAAGAAGGTGGAAAGCATCAGCTGCACAATAGTCCAGCTGCTGGTCATTAATGAGTTAACCACTGTATTTTCACACTGGATTTACAACTGATGAAATCTTGTGTTGCTAAAAGAATCACATGACATTATCAGCACAACATTAATTTGTTCTTGTTGACTATACATTGATAGCCAACTGGTGCTATTACAACCTGCCTGGGTTAGAGTGTTTCATTTGTCATTGACGCAGTATTATTGTTTGCTTGAAATAAATAAAACATGAATGCTAAAACTGTGTGGGGTGAATTTATTAAACCTATGCCCTCTTTATAGACGGGAAGCAAACCTTCTTAGTGCATGATGGGGTTTAACAACATTCGTCATCAGCTGTATCCTTTTGTGTCCAAATCTAGCATAACACTGACTCGAAGTCCTTTAAATAGATGAAGTCAAGTTGCTTTATCTCACACTCCACTACATAATTTGCCAGTAATCCATTTTTTGTATCTATTATGTATTTTTTGACTTGTTCATCACCATAATAATGTTCTCTGTGGCCATGAAGGGCAGCTCGTGGTGGATGTGTCTCGGTGACTTTGGGGTAGACCACAAGACCCTCTGTGATGTTCTGCAGTGTGCTGAGGATGATGTCTGCTGTCAGGAAGGACTCGGGCAGGGAGATCCTCCTGCACAGGAGCAAGGCAGGGAAGAGAGGAAAGAAACCATCAGTAACGACAAGTAACAGCTTTTTACTCAACCACTGAATCCTGAGTAACATTGTGCAATAAACACTGTATCACAATCATTCGAGTCTTAATTGTAGAGATTTACACCAACTCTGGACTCCATATTCATCAACACAATCTATCATGATGTCATTTGAAGCTCAGCCAAGCATGTCTCACCTATAGCTGGCTAAATGTTTTAGTTATAATCTCACCACTTCAACCAGTAATCTACTACTTCTAGCTGCTAAACCATTTAACAGCTTTGAGTGACCAAATTCACCTTTCATGATGTTTACTTAATAAATAAAACAGTGTTTGCACTTTTATCTTGCTTTTAGTTAATGTTAACCCATATTGCCACTCATAGCTATACTTTTAGCAAATCATACTTCTTTTTTTTTTTTTTAACCACCCAGTCATGGTTTATTTAACCAATACCATTTTCAAATTTGTTGACTTACACTCAGGTGTTCAAACATTTTTTACAGTAGAGAAAATTTCTTCATGTAAAACCTGGCTAACACAGAAGCTAAACTTGAGCTACCTAATCCTAATTAAGAATCATTGTTCCCTACTTATTGTATGTGTCTACATTAACGCAACATCTTTTTCAAAGTTCAGAGTTATAGCATCATATCAAATTCACAGCTGTGTAAATGTGTCCGTAGTATCTGTACAGTCAGGACCTGGTAGCATGCACATGATTATTAAGACCTTCTTTATTCTCCGCAGACCCAGGAAAAAAGGTATTTTGATTTCGATTTTTTTTCCATATAAATCAAGTAGCGGGATGTTAAAAATCACATTGCAAAAACTTTTGTTTTTAACTAATTTAAAGTTTACAACATTGATTGATCATGAATGTGAAACTAACAAAATTTAAGAGCTGGTTAAGAAAATTAAATGCTCCACTGAAATCTTTGTAAGCAGGATATTAAAACATATCGAAATAACAGCATCATAAAATAGTATGGGCCAGCTTAGAAGTCATTGACAGTTCACTAGCTGTAGGCCTCTGGTCTAGGAACAAATCATTACACTGGGCTTTCTATTTCACAAAAGTCCATTCATCTATGATATCTGTGGAAACACTGATTTTTTTGGAGACACAGAAGAACATTTGGTACTTCACACATCTCACATTTGTTTTACTGTTGCACCCAAGCATTCTACGCCTGAAAGGCCTGAAAGACGTGGACTGCATCATATTTTCCTACACTCTCATCTGGTTGGGGCTTCCTTTTCTTGATTTCTGGAGAGAACATATTTATCAGTCCCTCGGTCAAAAGGAGTTTGAACTCCAGGTACTGGGAGGAGTTCTTTTTAGAATTTCAGAGTTCTCTCTGAAGCCACGAGTTGGAGTAAAAGCTTCGCATGTTTGTTGTTTGTTTTCTTCTGAATCTCATTGCACTGCATGATGGTTTCAGCATTCTCTTGTCTTAAGGTAAGACTCACCTGTTTGCCCCGAAGTCACACAGGTGAGTTTGACATCCAGTTATGCATCCCTTAAATTTTGGAGTAGCAACAGTAGTATTCTTTCTTTTTTTCTTTTCTTTCTTCTTTTTTCTCCTGACAAAAACAAGACGATAGTTAAATACTAATGTACGAGGACAAAACCTGTGATGAAACTACCGCTGATTTAAAAAAGAGATGAGAATGTTCTACAGGGATGAGATCCAATCAGAATTGAAAGTGTGTAGAGAAGCGGGGTGATTTTAGAAGTTAGCCATGCACAATTTGATCTGTTGCCGACAAACAGGGTGGTGGAAACTCCTATGCTTCCAGTTTCTCATGAAAAGTTGGCTACCATAGCAGTATAGTATTGCAACATGGCATTTGGGTCTTCTAACTAAAATAGGAACATAAATAGCACCATCATTGCCAGACCTGGCTCACATCTGGTTGACATACACCCTGCCATGACACCAGTCAGTCAGAAGTGCCAGCTTGATGCCGGATCTGGGCCAGACCTGTTTTCTATGAGCCTGGGCCACATAAACCAAACCAAAATCGGCCAGATGTGGCATGCCATTACATAAACAGTGCCATCTACGGCAGGCCTAGCCCATATCTGGATGACATACCACTTACCATGCCAGAAGTCAGCCAGCAGTGCCAGGTTGACTCCAGTTCCGGGCCAAACCTGTCTGCTATGTGGGTTCAGGAGTGCCATGAGATGATCATGTTCAAGAGGCAGCAGCTGTGGTTAAACAGGAAGGTGGAGACCATGACCTGCTGGCCAGAATCCAGCGAGACCCCTACTTTGCACCCATTCTAGGGCAGCTGGATGCTTTGCTGGATCCCAAGACCTTTACTGGGCGTGCACCAATGCACCGATGTCTGAGGGCATCTGGAGACAGACATAAATAGACACTGTATACACAATCACACTCCCCAAGCATACTCTATAACCCAGTTGTGTGAAGTTGTGTGAAGACTCCAAACCTCCCTCTGCCTGCTCATATGTAGTTTTGATGCATGTGTGTTCTAAGGTGCATTTAAAACCCAGGAGGGCATGGAGCTACCTGCCAGAGAGCAGCAGGTAAGCGCATAGCCCCTCCTGATAGCCCTCAATGTCTACGTGTATTTAAAATTGAGTAATACACATCACATATTCTCCATAACCAGTGTGATCGTATTTGCTGAATGTGGTTGGAGAAAGTTGAGTCATGATTTTGATTGTGCAATGTCATGGAATAGCGTCCAATATGTCATGTCCTAGGGTCATTAGGGGAATGGTGAAGTTACTGAGTTACTATTTAAAAGCTAACAGAGAGCTACCATTCAACCTGCAATCAGTCATCCCTCATCACAGAGTGAGTACAAATGCCTCCTCTTTCACTCATTGTTACTCTAACTTAATGTTTTGGTGTTGTAAAACTGTTACTTTTAGCCACGTCTTCTGCTGTAGTCGATATGTTCTTTAATAGGTTTCTTTTTTACAGTTCAAACTTTGTTTTGTAGAGAAGGTTGCTTTGATTTTGTTGTATCTATCTCCACATGCTCTATAGCAGCATGCCGCTGTGGGCATTGCTCCCCGTCTGCCTGGCTTTCTTTGGCACTGCAGGCATTTGGACTGTGTGAGTGTTTCATTTCCTTTCTTAACTCACTTCTCATAAAATGTTTTACCTTATTTCTCAAACCCAAACACATGGGCAGTGGTCTTTATTCAGACCTCTTGTCTGTGTAAATCAGTACAGCAAATGTGGACGTATTCACAACCCATGTGTTGTGCTGGTGTCAATAAATGCCACTATTGGTGCCTTGAGGTTGAGCTCAGTCATGCCTCTGTGAAAAGCTGTGGGCAAGCAAACTGATAAAGACATAAAACATGCAGTATAGGTTATCTATAAGGCTTGTCTTCAGTTTAAAGTACATATTTATCTTAGGATAGGTGCCTTAAGGTACTTTATATTAAACATCTTGCTTCCACGCCTGCAGGATTTGCACTACATCTCTCTGTGAACTTTCATTTTGATGTTAGCTACACAATTGTTGATTAAAATATATTTTATAAGATGTGTTCCAATCTAACCAAGACCACATTAAAACTAAAAATAAGAAATATTACAAGTTTTTTCTTGTAGTATATGCATGTGTTAGGTACCCCTCAGTTAGTTATTTAGTTGATTACCACCATGTTGGACCAACTTTTACTCTCAGAACTGCCTAGGGTCTTCATGGTATAGATGCATTATACATTAGCTTTAGCTAATGTATAAACACACACTAACTGCAACAGTTTAGCTAATATAAATTATATTGCTAAAAGTATTTACACGTTTAGCTTCACATTCATGTGAACTTGACTGATATCCCATTTTTAATCCATAGGTTTTAATATGATGTTGGCCCACCCTTTGCAGCTATAACAGCTTCAACACTCTGGGAAGTCTCTCCATGTTTATGTGAATTTTTGACCATTTTTCTAGAAGCACATTTGTGAGGTCAGACACTGATGTTGGACGAGAAGCCCTGGCTTGCAGTCCCTGATCTAATTCATCCCAAAGGTGTTCTGTTGGGTTGAGGTCAGGACTCCTGTGAGGGCAGATATGTTCTTCCACAGCAAACTCGCTCACCCATGTCTTTATGGACTGTGCTTCGTAAACTGGTGTGCAGTCAAGTTGGAACAGGAAGGGACCATCCCCAAACTGTTTACACAAAGTTGGGACCATGAAACTGTCCAAAATGTCCTGGTATGCTGATGCATTATGAGTTTCCTTCAACGGAACTAAGGGCCTGAGACCAACTCCTGAATAACTATGCCATAATCAAAACCACCAAACTTTGCACCTGGCACATTGCAGTCATAGTCGTTCTGCTGGCATCTGCCAAACCCAGACTTGTCCATCAGATTGCCAGACGGAGAAGTGTGATTCGTGTCTCTAGAGAACATGTCCTCATGTCCTTATGTTACCGTATATTAAATTCTCTCACAAATGTTTGTAGAAGCAGTCTGCCTGCCTAGGTGCTTGATTTTTTCTACTCGGTCCTGGTGGTTTTCAGGTGTTTACACATCTGTCTGTGTGTGCACTGAGTTTAACATGAGAGCATGACAACTATAAGGGAAAATGACTAAACTTATCAGATTTGGGGATGACATTAAAATGAAGACTGTGCAAGAGCTTGGCATGGTCACAAGCTGATGTGCAGTTTTACTCAAGTTTGGGAATCTGCAATAATAAGTATGCTTGGCTTCTCAAACAGTTATATATGTATATAAAAAATGTTTAATCATACCCTTGCAAAGGCACAAACATTCAGCAGTCACCAACAGCCTTATTTCTTTCCATCAGATTTGCAGTAGCTGTAACAAATGGATCAGTCAACCTAACAGAGGGAATCCCGTACATCAGGTCGGTGTAAATCCTTTCTGTTCCGAGAGCCAAGTACAGAATAAAGGACTTAAACTGAAATAACGGTGAACTGGCAGGCTGCTGTCGTCATGTTCACAGCCTTAAAGGAACCTCATGATTCACTAATTTGTCTTTCTGCTGCTAGCCAGTGTGGCACTTACAACCCACAGAGCTGTCTCTTCTCCCAGGTCTGCAACATCTGCTGCTTTTTAGGTAAAAATTATTCAAATAAATATCCCAATATAGAGGAAGAGTGCTTGCTATCTGATTTCCCTAATTAGTTCATTTAAATTCAACAGCAGCTGCCATTTGTCAGAGCTGTAGTTTCACTTTGATTCTCTGCAGCTTTGGTCATTTTTCGCTCGTTTCGTAACCACCTTATGTCTGTGTTTCTCAGCCCTGTGGGTCGTGGCGATCCGTTTCCAGCAGGTCAGAGACTATGGTGATCACGGAAAAGGCAACATTGCCAGCATTGTTTTAGGATTCACCTCCTCCATATCGATCTCCGTCACCGGGAACTTCCAGGTAGCACTTTTATCTTGTGAACTTGTTTTACTCTGTTAAAGATTAAAACTTTATCTGTGAAAAATAACATGAAGATGACTGTATGCTAATCAAACTCTCCACTCCCCTCTGCTTGTCCTGTGTAGCAATCAGTTTTAATGATTATTCACACTGTGGGAGCAGTCCTGGCTTTCTTCCTTGGCCTGGCCTACTTCTGGGTACAGCTGTATCTAACTTATCGGGCTCAACCATCGCAGGACCGATGGTGGGTGGGGCCTGTCAGGGCGACCTTCTGCATCATCTGTACCGTCACGGTTATTGTTAGTATCCTTCCTGTCTTCAAACTGCTTCATGCAATCCAAGATAATGCTTTTGCCCATAGTAAGAATATTCAGTTGTGGAGAATTTTTAAATTTGTATTTATTTATTTATTTATTTTTTAATTTTTTTTACATTTTAAGAACATTTTCAGTTATTTTAATTTCAAAGAATATGTCCAGAATGAGCTACCTATTTCTATATCACCTAACTTCAAAATATATCTATTAAATTAAGATTTTTCTTTAGTTTTTTTTTTAAACTTATTGTTAATGCAACTATCCAGTTGTCCAACCACATGGTTGCCACTTAATGTATTTAGAAGACACGGTAAAGACAACCTGTAAAGTTCAAACTGAACATCAGAAAGGGGAAAAATGGCGATTTAAATGTCTTTGAACACTGAATTGTTGTTGTCGCCAAACATGCTTGTCTGAGTATTTCGGAACCGCTGATCTGCTAAGAACAGGAAACTGAGGGTATGATTCACGTGGACAACAGAAGACTGAAAAAAACGTTGTCTGGTCTCAATTTCTGTTTCTATTCAAATGGTCTGGTCAGAAATTGGCACAAATAACGTCAAAGCGTGGCCCAATTCTTCCTTGTATCAAAGGTTCAGGCTGCTGGTGATGTAATGGTTTCTGTTGCTACACTTTGGGCCCATTAGTATCAAATGACCATCATTTGAATCCTACAGTCTACCCTTTTTCACCATAGAGTACTAATTTTCACTTTATCCTACCAGTGCCATGTCACGAAGCTCAAATCATCAAAAATTGGTTTGTTCAACCAATTCTCTCAAAACACATGAACAATCACCAGATCTCAATAAAATAAAGCACCACTGCATGTTGAGGAAAGGGACATTTACATCATGGATGTGCAAATGACAAATCTGCAGCCACTGTGTGATGCTGTCACGTCAATATGGAAATCTGTACTATGAATACGATTTAAGCGGATAAAATGGGTCCAACCCAGTACTTGCAAGGTGTACCTAATAGAGTGGCCAGTGAGTGTTGATACGTTTGTTTTGACACTATATTTCTAGTGCATTGCAATAAGTGTTGAGGACCGCTGTAGATTCATGAAAAAATACTGATACATGCAGTATTTGCTGTGACTGTGGTTTCCCATTTCTTTGAACTTTTTTAAATGACTGAATTCTCATTGAGTTCTTATTGAACCGTGCTGTGTGTGAAGAGCTATTTCTCACATGCATTTTAAATGAACCCTCTCACTATACTATACAGGATCATACACAGACAGTGTTTGGGCTGAGAATAAACACTATAGTGTCTGAAAGCATCAATGAAGCAGCAACACTAGTGTTAGGCTTACTATTGAATTTACTCTGATGTGCGGTTGTTCAGCATCGTGCTCCTTAACTGCTCTTCTCTCCTTCAGTGTCCATTCTCCACATCACAGGCTTTTCCTCTGGAGCTGCTGCGTGTGAATGGATTCTGGTGATGTCGTTCTTCTGCCTCTTTGGCCTTTTTGCAGCCGAGTTCAGACACATTGACTGCCACAGCCTCACCGTACAGAAGCAAATGTTTACGAATGACCGCAGCCACGCATCAATAGAAATGAACGGTTATGTTATAAATACAATTAGCTAAAAACACTGTACTGGATCTGTGTGCTGTACACATGGTTCAGAATGCATTATGTTCGGTTATTATATATAGAACTGCTTTTTAATTTATTTGCATGTTTTCCATTTTGAACACTCAGTACGGCAGATCTGTTTCATGATCTATGACAGCATCTTTTGATGCAATTCATCATGTTTATGTCATTACTATCATTAGTAAATTACTTTACTATTACACAGTCAACTACCATACGGGCAGAATTTTCTATTTATAAATTTTTAGAAGAATTTCAAATAAATAACTTGGGTACAGAGATGTGTGTCTATCCTTTTATTTTTTTGAAAATGTTGTGAACGCTAGTTTTAGGTTTTGTTCTCGTGTTAAATACAGAAAATAGACAAAAATCAGGTACTTTAATAAAACAGCGCAAGTTGCAGTAAGAGCTTCATCCCATACAGCAATAACCACAGACTAACACATGATGGCGCTGTTTAACAATCTTAATCTGCTACAACAGCCTCTACATGATCCCTCTCTTATTATTTAAGCCACTTCTTAAAATCATTCATATACCCTCTTTTCCTCTCTTGCGTTTTCTTATTTTCATCTTCATGATGTGAAATCAACTGGTGATTGCACGCAGTGAAAACCAGTGAACATCAGCTCTTCTTCTGCAGCATTGTCCACTTGTCAGCTGGAGGAAGCTTTAAAAGGAGGATGGCGGTATGGAGGAAATGTTGAGTTATTGAGAAAACGAGAGAAACAAAGGCCTTCATATGGCGTAACACACGAGAGAGTACTGTAAGATACATTTAAAATGGTTCATTCTTGAGTTTTACCTGCACTTTAAACTTCCTTTTTTATAATTGTCAGAAACACCACCGGCCAGCGGGGGTGCTGTTGAGCATTTCTGGCTGCTGATCATTGGGCTGCTGGGAAAATGCACCTCTGGTGGCATGCCAACATGTTTTTTTGTAAGATACCTCCAATTTAGAAGGTTTCGCATTCACTGCAATTTGTCAAGGCTATTTGCAGCGGGCAAAACAATGAAGCTCTCATAGTTGATGCTGATAGTGGGAGAGGTCCTACTCTTGGCTCCAGCATGCAAACTCTTTCTCTCATCCAAGTTCTTTATTTATTTTAGAATATTATCTCAGGGTCTGTTGGTAACATCTTGGTCGTGCTTTGTGAACATCAACATATCTAATTTTGTTTGTATCTTTATTTATGTCAACAAAAAATCACTAGGGGTATGGTCGAGATGGGAATAGTGGGCCCCCGGTGTCCTGCTATGTTTCGGGAGCATTCTTTCACATACTCCACACTGTGTGATGTAACCAGAGGGGGGCTTTGATGAGCGGGCACAGGGAGCAGACGGACAAGCCCGGAATTCTATGGGAATTTTTCAAAGTGCTGTTCATTACCAGTGTTCCTGCTGCAGGCAGCATGCAGGGTTTGAACATTACAGTCTCATGTCCAGGGCAGATTAGAAAGAAGATTTAACTTCCTGACGTTACTCCAAAGTGCATGATTTAAAATAAGTTCACCCCTTATGCCGGTCTTTTTCTGCCTATGCTGAAATAACAAAAATGCTCTTGAGTTCTTGCTGCTTATAATAAGGAATTCAGAAGGAGGCCTTTTGGTGCCAAAACACCCTTAACCCTGCTGTTTTCATTAGTGAGTATAAAAGGCTCCTGATAAAGTAATAAAAACTCATAAAACCACCAGTAGCGACATGTAAAGACTGGGAGGCCCTTGATGTAAATGTCAGAAAAAAAGGTCTGGATCCTCTATTGTAATATGGGAGAACATGGTTTATGTGGTGCCTGCCTTGTTGCTTTTGACTTTGAGTCAAGAAGAAGGTAAGAGCGCACTTGCTCTCAAGGCCCGCGCTGTAATCTCTCCCAACACCTGCTTATGCCCTAGTCTGTCTTATCCTGGCAACACCTCTTGAGCAGAAACAAAAGCACTGCTTTCCTATTGCGGAGCGGAGTAGCTGCCTCCAAGTTCGCTATCAGACGCAACCGGCAACCCTCGGACGCTCCGGTCTCTCTTTAACGCTGGTCTTATCATCGACGAGCCAAATCCTGTGCACTTCACATCGAAAGGCCTGCTCTATCAGCGAGACAGCAGAATCTGCCAGATGAAGGCTCAGGGAAAGGACTGGGAGTAAACTGTTTGAGGAGAACGGTTGGTGAGTCCAATACATAGGAGACGGACACAGAAGAGAGATGGGATTGTCCAGAATTGAGAGATCCACAAGCAGATACAGAGACCTAGTGACAAGGAAGAGCGTCCCAGAAAGATGGAGTGTGAGTGATAAAGATGGAAAAATAAGAGTGGGCACCAGCAGCCATGATCTCACCCTCTGCTCCGCTCTTTGGCAACGTCTTCCAGAAAACTGCCCTTTCGCTGAAAAATGCCAAGTGCACCACATTCCAGCAGCCACACAAAGGCCCTCCCTCGTCTCAGCTGCATGGGCACAATCAGACAAGGGATAATTATATAATTAGGCTGGCTGGTGGCAGACAGGGACTCTCAGATGGTGTGTTGGTGTGTCATATTTACGTTATCAGACAATGAGGAGAGTTTGGCCTTATCAGAGGAGGCAGCGGCAGAATGTGTGTGTGTGGGGTGTGTGTGCTCCAGCTGTGGCACTTAGGACCAGATTGTCACGATAGAGAATAATAGTGGGTCGATAGAATGACCTTCACTCCATGGCAGGGCAGGGATCAGAGAATGTGATATGTGACGACGAGGTGGGGACTTTTTTGGGGGCTCCAACAAGCTCCATTCTCCAGGACTGAAAAATTAGGACAAAGTGGAAAGGCTAAAAATTGCAGTTCTTCGAATGTCTACTTGAAGCTGAGTACAAAAATCAAACCTTTGCTGCTTTTTTACAACCTGGTCTTAGATTTTTTTTAAAGGCCTTTTCTATGACTGAGGAATGCTGACCAGTGCTGGGTGTAACGAGTAATCACATTACATATCTCTGTAACACTATAATGTGAAGTTGCAGCTACTAAAAATAGAATTATGTTGTTACTTGAGAGGCACAAGTTTATCCATAGGGCTGTTCAATATAACGATATTTATCGGATGACGATATAAAAACATCTATCGTTTCATTTTACGTGGTGTCGCAAAATAAACTGTTTACGGCAATATTTTTTCATCGTTTTGATGGTCACTGTAGAGGCTATATTAATTTCTTAAAGTTCTCTCTTTCTCTTATATTTAATATAACCACACTACGGACGGACAAGCGCCTGTTTTTTTGCGTTGTCGTCAGCAACATAATCTTTTCACAATAAAGTTCAAGATCCTGTTGAGACTTTTCAAAATAAACGGAATCACGTGAAACAGTATGCAGAGTCTTTACGGATGAGAAGCAAAAAAGAGTCATCAGGTGCTAAAAAATAGGTTAAAACATTCGACTCCAGATACATGACGTCCAGCTGGAAACACTTCATGCAAGTCAAGCTGCCCGAGATTCACAGAATTTACAGAAAATGTGAAATTTTTGTGATTTATATCGTTATCGGGACGATAGATGTCTTATATCGGGATATGAGATTTTGGTCATATCGCACAGCCCTATTTATCCACAATCTGTTTGATGGGTAGACAAGTTAAAACTCCTCTGCAGGACAAAGATAGCAGAGGAGTAGAGATGTACACATGAGTTTGAATTTGTTTTGCAAAACAACAAGAATGTGACAGTAATATGCAAAGTGTGTGCAGAGCAAAAACAGCTATCCACCTCTATGCTAACAAGACACCAGCTAGCACCGAGCATTTGCAAAAGCAAATGTTACTATCCATCATGCTAACCCCAACATGGAGAGCAATGCTAAAGCTAAATGCACGTCAAACTCCATCAAGCAGTCACAGGTTTATTTTCAGCAGGTAGTAAAAGAAAAAGTTTCCTTCTAATATTGTCGGTCTTTACCTTACAATGTGAAGCTCCTTGATATGACTGCTGTTGTGAATTGGCACTATATAAATAAAAACTGTGTTGAAGTGTCACTTCCTAACTCAAGTTAAATGTTGCTCTTGTTTTTGTATTTAGAGCAAATAATAGTTGAATAAACACAGACACCGCTGTCTTTGCAGTTAACAAGCAAACCATCCACCAAACCTCTGCTCCAATTTGGGTCAATGAAACTTTTTGTGTTATTTGTATGTCACTGATTGCATGATGCACCTGTACAAGAATACGCTGTGCAAACTAAGGCTCAAGTCAAACAAGTCTAGACATTGGTCAGTGATCATCTGGGAGCCACCGACTGCAAGTGGGAAAATCTGTACTCCTCATGGAGTATCCTGACATTTGCTATGTGTAGCTGGTTGCTGGTATACACAATACACTGAAAACCTCTTGGAGATTTCTTTGATTGCTAGCAGATTGACACGGTCACCTGCAGTTTGCAAGAAATTGTTTACCTTCAAAGTTAAGTTACGTTGGACTTTTTAAAAAGTGTGTGTTGTAGCCAAAAGGTCCAACTTTTACTTTGAAGGTAAACAGTGTCCATTTCCAGTTTGCATCACGCTTTTTCATGTTTCACTAAATAGGCCTGTGGCCAGCAAATGTTTGCAGACGAATAGGCCTTTTCTATGCAAACTGTAGGTAATCATGGCAATTTGTTAGCGACCAAGGCAGAAAGATAGAAAGTTTTTGGTGCAGCAACCATTTGCAATCAATTTCATCTGGTGCCAGCCAATAATATCCAGCAACCACTCACGAAATATATTTTTCCCTAGTGGAGCTCACCAGGGTGTTGCCAACCAGACTTGAAGCCTGTGGCCAAGGCCTATGATTTGTAGTATTTGCTGATAACTCCAAGCTGTTACCCAATTATGGTCACTTATGGCAACAAGAATGCACGAAACAATGGCTTTCACCTAGTCTTTCCACTTGGAAGTTATCTTGAAATGCTGGGCATGTATTTGGGCAGTTATTTCAAGTTATAGATAGTTATAGATACTGATGGGAAATTTTTGAACATGTGGACTTAAACCACCAATCCTCTGATTAGCAAATGGGTGACACTTCCTATAACCCAGAGCTGTTCTTCTATAACAGCTCTGCTCACATCATGGTGGACATGATCTTTTATATCCAGTCTGTGGGGTCCACCAACCACACATAATATAAGAAAATTAAAATTAAACATTTCACCTCTGAGAACCAAAACGGTATCAGGGGTTCGTAACCATGTTTCAAATATTCTTTCCTAAATTGTATTAAACATGTTTAAACATGTGAATATTCGGGTGTTACATTTGGCTA